AACATAAATGTGCCCTGTCGCAACAACGCCTATCGGAATACCGATGAAGCGTAAGTTTCATTTTCATTATATTTTCGTGAATGTAAGGGTAATTTCATTAGATTTATATGAATATGTGTGGGACTTTTATTTATCTTCCTATGCATTTTGAAAAAGTAATTTCATTTAAAAACAAGTACATCATGTTATGTTAGTATGACTATCGTTACTAAACTCGTACAGTCCCTTTAAGAAGACTGCTTTATTTCTATATACAGAAATGCCCCAAAGTGTTCCCCTCTCCCCGTCAGCTGGCCGTCCATTTTCGACGGTTTCATTCTAGCGGTAAGTTTTAATGTTCATAATGCCATCTGAAGTAAAAGTGTGAAAGACATGAGTTATTGTATTAAAAACAACAGATTCGTGACTTCGAGCTTATCATTTCATTTGAATAAAATATGCTCATATCTTCTCTCCACAGGCGCAACACAGACGTCGCGTGATGACGCATGCCCGTCTACCTCGACAGGAGTGTCGGTAGGGGTAAGTTATATTATATCTATCTTTCACTTTATCCATCCATGGTTAGTTTTAACGAGGTTCATACCGCATAGGATTTCAATGTATGTGTGTCGTGTGTGTATAGATAGCGATGGCTGGGGAATGTTTTCAATAAATTGTTTTCTATTTCAGGGACCTCTAGTCCACCATCCACCTCCTCAGGGCAGGCAGTAAAGGCGGGAAACTCTCGTGCTAGTGGAGGTAGATAGTGAAAAGTGATAAGTTAAGGGTTTTAGCTAAAAAGGTCCCGCCCCGTGGGTAGAGGAGAGCACTGGCGAGGTGATGGAGCCCGGACTCCAGGAAGCCTATGACCTGGACGCTCCCTACATCCTCACATGGGACCAACCCGGGGAGGTGTTTTCTACCTACAACCTCCCCCTCAAAAACAACTTTTCGATAGGTCAGTTGATGGAACGTGCTAGGGGTATCTATCAATCGTTGAATTATAGTTTTAGGTTTAATCTAGCGTTCGGTGTCATCCTGCGTCACGTGGAGACGGAACGCTATCGCTATTTCCATCCTTACGCTGTCGATCCGATCTTTACTACTCCTCTCTATATCACCGAGCTGAGGGATCTCGAACGGTTGCGTCAGAGACTGGAAAGCTTAGATGTAATGTCCTTTCTTATGAAACAAGGCCCCGATACCAAATGGAAACCCGTTTTGATATGAGTATCTCGACACTCCGGATAAGCTAAATGAAACTCGGCTTCCCCCTCTGGGTGAGGCATGGTATTCCAGTCTCAAACAGAAGTCCGTCCTGGACGATGGTGTGAAATCAACCGAGGAGAATAATGCCGAGCTCGAGGAAGTTTCGAGACGGCAAGGCATGTCAACATTTCGAGATTTTCTCGAGTGGTATAACAATGTGGACGTGGGTCCCTTTGTGGAAGCCGTACAAGCCATGCAGTGGTTTTATTTCCAGGATGGCATCGACCTTTTTAAAACCACTATGTTGGTACCCGGTGTGGCCCATCAGAAACTATTCCGGGAGAGTTGAAAGAAAGGGGTCTCCTTTGCTCTGTTCGATAAACGTTAGAAGACCTCTATCACACCGTGAAGGGTAATGTGGTCGGCGGTCCTTCTATCATATTCACGAGGTACCACAAAGACGATCAAACGTTGATTAGAGGCCATCCCGATAAACGGTGTAAAAGGGTGGTTGGGTACAGCACAACGTTTACTACACCGTGCTCGCCGCCGCCTCGGTCGCAACCAGCCCGTCAATAACAAGGCCCGACGCCTTCGTTCACAGTCCAGTCTCCAGCGAACTCCAAAGCCAACGCTGAGTTCGAGCGTACGTACAGCACAACGTTTACTACGCCGTGCTCGCCGCCGCCTCAGTCGCAACCAGCCCGTCAATAACAAGGACCGACGCCTTCGTTCAAACTCCCCTCTCATCGGTCATTTCAAACGCCGGGTAAAATTCTCCTGTAAAGGCATCTCGAAACGCACACTGAAAACACCACTAAGAGCGTTTAGAGATGTTTTACGTACGCGAGTACCTGGCGAGGGGTTGAACAGAGGTTTCCGACTCAAGGAGAATACCATGTGTTCCTATCAACAGACACGCCAGGGGTTGAGCTATCTGTATTGCAAGCGTCGAGTGCTAGCCAGATGACCTTTCAACTACAATATTCCATTCAGACGTCACATTCTATAAATCTAGCAGCGTGCGAACCTTTTTTCACTCTGCTTGTGAAAAATGTCCTCTTGTTTGTTTTGAGAAATCCCACTCACGCAGATTATTATTTTGGCATTAGACAATTACATTTCTATTTTTTTTAATTTAATATCATGGTAAAATTGCTTTTGATACTAAAAAATCCCCAGCTAGAAAACAATATCAGCAGTTTCTGCCAAATTTATATCTGCTCCAATTATAAAAAGGAAGTTTTATTCCACGGTGAAGTGGTTATTTATCTGGAAAACAGTGATTTGAAAACTTGAAAGTTGCCTAGAAGTGTCGTTGCTTATGAACGTGAGTATCTCTTTTATTTTCGTTGGTTATTCTTTGTAACTAGAAACAAGGTTATTCGTTGTAACTAGAAACAAAGTTTTAATTTCATTCCATTATCGGCTTTCCTTTGATGTCGCTCATGTGGGCGGTTTTCATTTTTTATATCTCCACTACGTGTCATTTTGCACGTATAACAATGATCTGTCAATTTTGGGTTGGTTGTGGCATGGCGGTATTGTTTTATCCAATCGACATGATCACATTTTGCACATGTGTTAGTGTATAGCCAATGTTTGGCTGTTATTGAATATCCAATCAGAGTTCAATAATAATTGTATACAAAAGCTGTTGAAATCGCTAATTAATACCATGGAGAATATCAGAAAAAATGTGGCTAATAGTTTTGCTTTCCGTTGTGTGTATCCCATATGGAGCTGCATTTCCATGTTCATGGATCGGTGGGACAACTCTATCATGTCACACTACCAATCATAAGTCAATTACGCTTTTGACTGGTGAAAGCTATCATCGAATTTCACTCATCAGAATTCACGGTTTCCCTACACAGCTGTTACTCAACAGGGATTGATTCTACTATCGTAGGTATAACTATTATTATTATTATATTATTATCATATTCTTTCTATTAATGGTTTTTTTTTTGTTTTATCGAAAAAGGAAAGGTAGAGATATAAGATGAGATGGAATTGTATAGATTACCATCTATAGTTAAATAAATAAATGTTAAAATTTGGAGTTGGAGTTAATATTAATTTTACACTTTTTATATAGTGATGACGTCGAAGGTGACGACACTCCACTAAATATTTGGAGTTTATATTAAATTATTACTTTTTCAGGGATGAAGTCGGGGGTGACGACACTCCTTATCATGGCTGTCCTGGCGGCGATGGGCATTCCATTGGATCTCTCTTTGCGGTGGTATCTCCGCAGGAGACGGAATGTCTTGCAGGGAAACCCGAGACAAACACACATCAGCTTTCGCGGGCGTTTTCTGATAAACCCTGCCAGAGTTGATTGTGGTGTATTCCAAGTCAGAAAAAACGTGAAAAAAATCCTCCACACATGTCTTTGCTTGATCCCTACATATTCATGGAGCAAAATTTGCATATGTTTGATACTTCCAATTATGATCAGAACAATCCTAAAGGATTGTATTCGAATGCTGTTCAAAACCCACATTTCAGAGATGAGTGATTGATACAGGTACCCTCCTCCTCCTTTTTTGCTGAATGTTATCCATTTTAATTTAGCAATAATAATTCTAATAACAATAGTACTAATTGCTGTTATCATCACACTTAAAGTGTTTCACTCATTTAATTATATTTATGATTGAAGCAACATGAGTACCACTGGATTCATTTACCAGTTAAGACGAAACAGCAGCAATGACAGTGTATTATGAAGGCAGAAGCTTCCGAAGAAGCCATGAGGATGCCATGCAAGCAGGTTTACAGCATGCAAGAAGAATGTTCCAACAAGTAGAGAATCGTCAAACACCCAACTATTCAGTAGCTGTGCGTAAAATTCACATCAACAGGAGACAATTAACCAATCGCTTACAGCTGCGTCGAAACAGACGACTTTTGGTAGGCGTCTTGGAGTCTCACTATCTCAATGAACTCCAGAGACTTGTTCGGAAGCTATGTTGTGATAATTGTTATGGATGTGAAGTTAATCATCCATCGCAAGTACAACACCAGTGTCTCAAAATGAACAGTGACGAGTGTATTACTCAATACTTTGATCGAGCAGTGAATGAGCTGCCCCTTCATACCATCTTGGAAAAAGCCAAGTAACAGAGGGTAAGCCTTGGGCTAGAGTTTCAGGACCAGCACACTGTGCGTTCAAGTACAGTAGTATGTTACATGACACAGGTATGACAAGATGACAAACAATATCTAAAATAATTACAGATAAACTTTGACACATGCTCATCATTGTTAAAACGGACTTGCACATCAAATATCTGCACAAGGGTTTGAAGGGTAAGTTCTGTTTTGCATTTATACAACAAATACTATAAACAATAATGTCCATAAAGGTTGGATAAATGAGGACTGTAACTGTCTTCTGTTGTGCTGGTATTGATTGACATAGGTTTTTAAGTACAAGTCAAAAACGGAATTCACTGGCTCACCCAGACTGTCAAACAGTTCCCCTGTATTTCCTTTAAAGTACATAGCCACCCAGTGACGACCCGGTCTTCCAGATGGTTCAGTATTGACAATGAGACCCACTCCACGTGCCAGCATGTCTCTTGTCAGCACAGGTAAATTATCTTTGGCAAACACACCTAAGACATGGTACTTTAAGATGGAGTCGCTTTGAATAGCACATGCAAGGTCAGAGGCTTTCATGTTTTTTACTTCACAAACACGTTCCTGGTCTTGTCAATTTCGATGAGGGAATTTCTTTCACTCAGAACAACACAACTGAGTGTTTTGGTGAGGGCGGATTTGAACTCGATTTCTAGTCAGGTGCTACCGGATTTCAACAGATTCAGATAGTCGGATTCACTGCATACTTTATCAATGTCAAAGACGAAAAGGGCACTCGCGAGCAAAAAGTCGTTCCGAGTGATTCTGTTTCCTGTATTTTCTTTCCACAGACACATCCCATCGAACATCTGCACATAGGACTCAACGTCATCTGCCTGCATGGGACGTCCGGGGACACTGGCACCATTGATGTACAGGCTGATGTTTTTCACCATACTAGATTGGAAGTTGTAGGGGTTACCAGTGTAAGATCCATTCAAGCTGTTGCCGAGTACAAAGCCTACGATGTAATGATTAGCAATAGGATTCGACAGATTGTCAATGGTATGTGTCAGTTGAGTGGTTGGGATGCTTGTCACCTTGACCTCACTGCTGTCTTGAAACAAGGTGTTGTGTGCCAAAATAAGAGCTGGATTGACTTTCAGTTTACACACCTTTAGGTAGGTATCCAGAATTTCCACATTGTAATCTTGACCTGTTTTGCCGCTCATCAAACAGAACTGGGGCGAGGAGCGGTACAGCTTAACTGTCAAATCCACTCCATTGACCAAACGTCTGTTCATGTGAAAGATATCTTCATACAATGGCCCCGACATGGTCAAGACTTTACTAGTTTTAATGAAACTGCCACGAGATTGCACTCCTGTATTGAGACCAGTGTAGGGATCAGTCAATTCCACATCTTTGTTGGTTTCAGACACATCTTTGTAGAAGAGTTGAGATGACAGCTGTGAAGTTTTAGCTTCTGTTCCATAGTTGATAATGGTTGTTTGTAGAAGATACCAACTGATTCTGCAGGTACACTGACACCTGGGAAAAGAGGGCCTACAGAAACAAGTTGACAGGGACAATATGTTCCTTGTCAACAAGATCAGTGCCATCTGCACGTTTCACCTTGAGCTTCACATGTAGGCGGGTACGGTTCAGGTCAATGTAATTACTTCCAGCATTCGTTACTTGAAATTCCAACGGTGAAGAATCATTGATTTGGCTGAGTCGACGCACTTCATCAAAATAATGTTGATGGATGCTGGTAGGGTATGGTGGTAAAATAAACAGATTGAGAGAGGGTGGTATCAGTTCCTCAAAGTCTTTATCATTCAATAGTGACATGATTAACTGAAAACGTCGTTTTCTTAAAAAAGGGGTACACTGGAGAACCTTAGCGGTCTTGGATGGAATGTTATCTGTCTGACAGATCTTCTTTGAAGTGGTGATTTGATCACCTGCAGCTCGTTTTAAAGGTTTCTGTCGCTTTTCTTTAGCATTGGCTCTCTCAACAATATTCTGCGTCTCTGATGTCACTTCCAGTTCGATCTTGGGTTCTTCAGACTTCACTTAAGTCATGTCGGGATCACTAGTACTACAAGCAGCGGCGGGAGAGGGAGAAGCTGTGTCACATGATCTCTCAACAATATTCTGCGTCTCTGATGTCACTTCCAGTTTGATCTTGGGTTCTTCAGACTTCACTTAAGTCATGTCGGGATCACTAGTACTACAAGCAGCGGCGGGAGAGGGAGAAGCTGTGTCACATGATCTCCTGAATGAATCAGAGAGCGAAACAAAAAGTTGAAGATCACTTTTTATATACAATTCAGCTCTAGGCACCATTAGACACCCCCCGGACACCCTCACTACAAGAACCGTTTTGCCGCTGAAGAAGTTCATCCTTCCCGGCGGTCCGAGGATAACCCTAAATACATTCTGAGAAGTCTTGGAAGAGGGAGACTTGTGAAAGTATGAACATAAACTAATGCATAAATGTATACAGTATTGATAATTTTTTTAGATATGTTAAAGAAAAGTTTCAATTTTAAATGTATACATATTTTTTTTCAACATTTCATTATTTAAACAGATGACTGTCAGTAATGTTCAGACTAGTTTATAAAAAATGTCAACAGATTTTATAACAATTTAGTTTATTTCACACAGAGTACTTCAAGTTATTTTAAAAACTAGTCATTTTAAATGTATACAGTTTCTGATGACATTTTCTTTTTTATCAGAGGATTTTAGGTGATGATAAAACACTTCTTCCAGTTTATTTTAAACATTACTATTTTTGATGATTTTTTAATGTATACTTATTTGGATATTAATTTAGTTTTGCTTACATGTATACTGATTCTGTTTGTAATATAACTAAGTTTCTACTGTGTTTTCATGCGTTGTCATTTTATACCTTTAAAAGTGTAATGTTATGCAACAATGTCAGCTAGTGTGGTTACCAGTTTCTGGTTATATAGCAAGTATCGTTTGGGCTTTCCTTATTATTGATATAAGGACATCAGAACACCGCTGTACATTTTGACATCAATATAACTATCTGCGTCATTCCAACCCGTCTAGACATAAGGTACAATACCCATTCAAATCCCCCCTCCCCATTCCTACATTGATGTCAGGTGTGATGGGATTACATCAATCAACACATTGTTGACATAAGGACATTACCCATTCCAGCCATTGTTGACATAAGGTCATTAGGTACAGTGATGACGTCACCTTAACGTCATGAGAGGTGGTGTGAGGTGCTGGAGGTGCTGAAGTATACAATTTTATACTACTGCTATTGACAGCGCAACATCGTCGTCAGCTATCGAGATTGGCCCGGACTACGACGTTGGCAACGACATGACTAGCAGAGGGTTGTCTTCACTGACGAAAGTCGATTCTGTATGTTTAGGGCTTTAGGGCTGAAGGAAGACAACGTGTTTACCGCCGCATTCTTCGTCCAGTTGTCCTACCATTTCCACTAACTTCCTCGCAGCCAACAACGTCAACGTCCTGCCGTGGCCTGCACACTCACCCGACATGTCCCCCATAAAACACCTCTGGGACTTGTTGGATCGTCATGTTCGATAACGACCACACTCTCCAGCCAACCGGCACGTACATGCAGGTTCGTGCATACCCTCACGTACACAATCTCATCAATCTTAATTGTAGGCGTGGTTTAGGTATTGCTGTCACTGTTTTTATCTAATCATATTATTGTTCTATACCCCATATTATTTAGTGTAATGTCTGTTATTCATTAAAGATCTGTCTTCATTCATTTTTAACTTATCTAATATCATTCATACATTCCTTCATGCAAATTGATTATTATAAATTGTTTATTATTTTATTTCAGAAAATCATAGGACATTATATAACATGCGAAACACTGTATGCTGATTCCGACATCTTGCTGAATGGACACATGTGTCATGGTAGGTAATGTAGTTGTCCATAGAAAACTTATCTTACACTTTCTAGTGAAAATTCGGAAGAAATTTGGCTTAGTTGCACCATGCTTTCTACCATGTATCGTACTAAACTAGTGTCCAAAAGAAACGATACCAACTTATTTTCAAAATTGTTTTTTACTAAGTGAATTGTCTAGTATGAAAACATGCCAATTCGTATTGCACATCCCAAACACAGCATAGTCGATAAAAAATACCAGGAACACGTGATCACTTCCGAGAAAAAACGTAAATTTCGTGAAAGTGACATTTCCCTCTCTAGCATGTTCTGCACGTGCATAAAAACTGTATAAAACGGCTGATCAGACACGTTGATAACACAGCAACAAAAAGAACACAAGATATGCCACGTTTGACAGCCATCGAGAGAGAGAGAGAGCCGTTGGAATGGTCCAACAAGGAGCGTCACACGTCGACGTCGCCATGAGATATGAGAGCAGATTCCTCATCTTCAGAAACGATGGACGGCAGCTTGTATACCGACGATTTGGTGAACGTTTGGTGCCTAACTGTATCCAACAGGTCCGGCCGTTCGGAGGTGGAGGGTTAATGGTTTGGGGTGGCATATGTGGTGACGTCAAAACGATGCTTGTCGTAATTCGTGGAAACCTGAATGCACAGCGTTATCTTGATGACATCCTACGGCCTGTTGTGGTGCCCTTTATTCAGCAACAGCCTCGTGGACTCCTTTTCCAACATGACGATGCAAGGCCACACACAGCAAGACTGACACAGAACTTCCTTGCCAACGCCAACGTACAGGTTTTGCCATGGCCCGCATGTTCACCGGACATGAATCCCATCGAGCACTTATGGGACCACCTCGATCGGCAAATCCGACGTCGCCGTGTGCCTCCAGTCAACGTCCAGGACTTGGAATGATGTCTCCTCGAGGAATGGCAACGCATCACTCCCAACGTCATCAGACGTTTGACGTCATCAGTCCGTAGGCGTGTTCTGGCATGTATTGATGCTCACGGTGGACATACCCGCTACTGACTTGACTTTGAGACGTGTGGTGTGACATTTCCCGTTGTTTCTGTAATAATTCATCTAGTTTTGTTTTATGTTGATTTCACTCTTAAGTTGCTTACAAACATTTTTCACATATTTTTTTTCTGGTTTCAGGAATAAATAACACTAACTTACACGCTTCTGAACCCCATCGAACACTTGTGGGATGAGGTTTAAAGGCGTCTGCCGATGAACTACGCACAGCTGCTCTGGATGTGTGCAAGAGGATTGTCCTAGGGCATTCACAAATTGTCTGCTCCCAATGTACAGATGTGTGGCAGTGATCAATGCTAATGGTGGTCACACCATTTCTTGACTGACATTTTGGGTATTGACCCGAAACTGTGACACGCCCCTACATTTGAAAAAAACAATTATGTCATCTGCCTTTTAATCCATTAAACTGCCTTCAATCAAATTTTTGTCAATCTTGCCCTTTTAGTATTTCTTGTCTTTACTGTTGAAAATAATTACATGTATACTGCATACTCGACTTGCGTTTCTTTTGCATGTGAGTATATTTTTACATTGTTTATTTCTTCACATTTCATCTCCACATATGGAATGGCAGACCATAAAGCGTTGGGAAAGTGGCCTTCATTGACTTAGACATGGATATTGTTTCATCCTAGGTTGATATGCCGTTTTTCTTCTCAAAAATTGTTTTCAACAGGTTATCATCAAGATCACCATGACTTCTGAAAGTTCTAATATTTTTACAGTAATTATTGTTGACATTGCATATTAATAAAACCATAATTAATACTCATTCATATTTTCACCACAATGATCACATTCATAGCAGATGATTAAGGGCTGGGGAAGCTGACCTTTAAGTAATGAAGAAACCATGACACCTCAGGAATGGTATGATTGTATAACCGGGTAGGCACAGAAAAGCCGAGGACGCGTAGCGTAGCGTCCGAGGCTTTTCTGTGCCTACCCGGTTATACAATCATACCATTCCTGAGGTGGAATGGTTTGTCCAACTTATAAACCGCTATCCATTTATCTATGTCATTTTTGGAGCAAATATTTACGCGGTATACGGGTCGCAAATAAGCGCGGTATAACGAGACACACTTTATAACAGTTGCTGCACGTGCAGAAGAGGGCTGTACGTGCTGAAAGAACCGCCAGAAGGCCCAGGTCAGCGATAATATTGGGGCTAAAGCCCCGACGATGGATTGTCCAGCGGAAACTTGTTCGGTACCCACAGATCCCGTTAACGTGGTCCAGTCAGTTTCTAACGCTGCTGGGAAATCAATTTCCCTCACATTCAACCTCACTTGCAATTGTAAAATCTGGGGAGCAATTGTAAAACCTGA